TACATTTTCATGTTCTGTTTATTATTTAGCAAGTAGAACTCTTGTACTTGTAAGGTAGAGTTGTAGATATCACTTATCTCCGTCCTGATTGAGTAGGAAAAAAAATCAAGCTCATTTAAAGACTCCATTTATGAGGCAGCACTCTTAATTATCTTGCTTGTTTTCTATTTTCCTTGCAGAAAAAAAGAAATCCATATTTGAAGAATATAATTTTAGAAACTCTTAAAAGAAATATGTCTGACTTCATTTTTTTCTTTGATATATGTATATAGGCCTGAAAGGTTACAATTATTACAAATGTATGATCAACCTGGATTTGTAACAATTATTTATTTACAGAAAAAGCAATAGTGCTTGCCCACAGCTGTCTGGAAGAAATTTCTCTGTTGGGCTTACAGCTGAGCGATGCAGAGGTAAAAATGACCGGGGGTCTTTATTCCCCACTCTGGATGACTACAGGAGAACGGGATATATATCCCTCTAGAACCATGATAAAGATTTACACAAATTGTTCCTTTCTTTCTGATTGCTGCTACTTTCGTCAGTGTTACATACTGTCATTAAATTCTCCACCCTCGCCATTACAGCTTCCATTACCACCCACATGGCGCTGCGGCTTTATCCATGGGTGGCAGATGTTATCACCGTATGTCATGCGATCAATTTTCCATTCAAGGGTAATGCAATGTTTGGGGGAAAGCCAACTCACACTTTAGTAAAGGCTGTCTCTGTAGTCTTCACCAGCCGTAAATGCAAGCATCCTTTCGACTTCTTGGCAGAGCTATTTAACCAAAAAATCAGCAGGGACCTTAGAGGCAGTTTGCATGCTTCCATGTTAGCTGGGCACTCTTTCTCGCTGTCACCTGCCAAATTGCTTCCTATTAAGAAGACTGGCATTATTTTGTCTTTTTTTTTTTTTTTTTACTTTTATTCATCTCAGACTATTCTGAGCTGAAAATCATGAAAGATGAGACATGGTGGAAAGCATTGGTCTCAGATCTGGTCCTCAAGGCTCTTCGCTACTAGCTCATTCTATGATCTGCTTCTCATGCCGTTGTTTCCAGAGGCGGCGTGCAGACCTCACAACCTCACAATTTTTATTGTGAATGATTACAGAGAGCAGCAGGGGCTATTTAACTTTTATCTACATGGTTTCAATTCTCTCTCTCTCTCTCTCTCTCTCTCTCTCTCTCTCTCTCTGACTCTGTGTCTCTGTGTCTCAGTCTCTGTCTCTTTCTGTCTCTCTATCTCTCTCTGACTCTGTGTCTCAGTCTCTGTCTCTCTCTGTTTCTCTCTCTCTCTCTCTCTCTCTCTCTCTCTCTCTCTCTCTCTCTCTCTCCCTCCCTCCCTCCCTCCCCCTCCTCTCTCTCTTTCTTCTTTCTTTCTTCCTTGTGTTTCTTCTCTTTT